GCCTCCAGGACTAGACGGTGTAACTCTGGTCTAAAACATGTATGTTACAGGGGAAACGGGATAAGGCACTGTCCCGTATATAAGGAGAACTGTAGTGTCATATCCGACACCTAAACACGGATTTTGTATGGAAATTTCGACACGAATCTTTCCTAGATGGTTTACGACGGTGTCGCTTCAGTTGTTAACAGCTTGTCTGCAGAACACAGGAAGGATCCAGGGATTCTCCATCACCAAGGTAAATGCGTCTCCTTCAATTTACGTCGCCTTTTCGCCTGCATCTTCATCTATTCCACTTCGATAGAGTCAGACTTCCTTCTACGCATATATAGCTCATGATTGCCGGTGCACAGTGCCAAAATGCGCTTATTAATCATCGATTTCCTCACTAAAAGAAAGAATTACTTTGCAGTCTTGTCTATTGGTTGGATTATGACTTTCTTGTCGTGAAAAGATGCGTTTCGACTTTTCGGTCAAGGGTACCCGATTTTGGGGTATCTGCATGTGATGGACCAGTGCATCATCCATCCGAACCGTTGCTCGTCAGCTTGTTCGTGCTCTTCTTTTTCAGAAATCAGTCGATTAATTGGCAAAGTTAAGCAACGCAAACACAGGATGCCAGTAAGACAGCGGTGTCTGTTGGACAATAGTTTTCGCGGACACTATGTAGCTTTTAACAAACAACCAACGAAGAACGAGGCGCAGAGAGAGACCCCACCTCGGCTGCAGCCGAAGGACCCCAAAAGCACTTTATACCTAAAAGTCGTCTTTTTGAATATCCAACGCCAACTTTCCCGCCTCCGATGAAGCAAAAATGGCAGCAAGATGGAGCAGTTTCTGCAAAAGTAAAAGAGGAGAAAGTATAGCATTTGGACCAGTTCTGGATTTCTGGCCTTATGGATTGAGACTAGCAATGGAACCCATTCCAGGTAGCACAATCTGCAACAATTTTGACGTATTTTCCTACCGAATTTGTGTACATGTCCCAGAGTTTGAAATACTACTACAGGTTTCTACGAACAATTATTTTATCCACCGTTTTAATGACAAAAGTTTGTCGAACGATTTTTCATCAGGCAGTGTTTATGTGCTGACTAGGTGCCCTGGAATAAGCGGTTTGCATACGAATAAACGTTAGAAACTGCTGACTGGGAAAGGCATCGAAAGATGGGGATACAACCGCTCCATCACAATACGCTATTCGAAGTCATCCTTCGTAACACTGGTTTGCAGGATTTTGAGTCTCCACTCTCAAGAAAAT